TTATCATATCATGAATAAAATTTTTGTTTTCCATTCGTCTTTACTCTCTCTTTTCGAAAAAAGTCAGCGTAACAAAAAATACTAAAAAGTAAAAAGACTTACGCTTAGTCCCGAAAAAGCCAAAATCCAAAGTCGCGAGGAAAAAGATAAAACCGCGGAAAAAGGCAGGATTAAATCCAAGGTGATACCCAAAGTAGACTGGCAAGACAACCACATTAACCAATAATTTTTGACAACCAACGAAAGTCGAACGATAAATAAGAAAGGCTCCCCAGCAATCAACGAAGTGGGATGACCACCGGAAGAGCCGAAAGAATCCCCGGCACACCAGATAACTTCATCCAAACAGGAAAGCATTCATCATCGCTCGGTGCATGAGCTAGAGTAGTAAGTCGCCACCACCACCGGTCCTACGAAGTGGACTGCAACTACCAGCCTGATGGGGGGTTTATACTCATCCAGTCCTACGCATAGTGGCCTGCAACTACCAGCCTGATGGGGGGTTTATACTCATCCAGTCTTACGCACAGTGGGTTGCAACTACCAGCCTGATGAGGGGTTTATACTCATCAATTGAAGGGTCGACTACCGCAAGAAGGAGCATCCTGAGGTTCTACCACGTGTCAACCAAAGGGGTCGGTTACCGCAAGAAGGAGCATCCTGGAGGTGCACAACACATTTTTTTCCCAGAGGATCAGCCACCGCAAGAAGGAGCATCCTGAGGTTCTACCACGTGTCAACCAAAGGGGTCGGCTACCGCAAGAAGGAGCATCCTGGAGGCGCACAACACATTTTTTCCCAGAGGATCAGCCACCGCAAGACGGAGCATCCGAAGGACAGCCGGGCAAGAGGGTTAACTTGTTGAACATACAAGGATATGAATGTTGAACATACAAGGATATGAAGCTTGTAGATTTTGATGATGATTCAAGAATAAAGGACATAAAGATTTGAAGACTTGTAATGTTATGTAATAACTCTGTTTTTATGTTTTTGAGTCTGTAATATTAGAGTCCAAGATAGCCAGCATATAGACCACTCTTTAAAAGCTCTAAAAACTCATTTTTATCAAAAAGTTACTGGAATAATCGATTAAACCACAGGATAATCGATTATTATAGAAAGAAAATCATTTTCAGTATTTGCTCACTGGATTAATCGATTAAATGGGTTGTTAATCGATTAAATGGCCTGTTAATCGATTATCTGGCCCTGTATTGCTTTTCTACGAGAATGGCTCTGGAATAATCGATTAACACTTAAGATAATCGATTATTTGGGTCTGTTATGTGTTTTGAAATTCAAAATTGGACCAAGTTTCAAAAATTCTATTCCCAATTCATCAAGTTTCAAAAATCCCCAATTCCCAAACCTTATTCTCTCTACTTAAGGTTCTCTAAGGCTCTCTACAAATTGAACAACCTTTTTCATACAAAATTTAAGAGTTGTGACTGCTAGAGAACTGTTTGTAGGGAAGAAAAAGGGGTTTTTGAAAACCTAGTGTGGGCTATAAGCGATAAGAATCACTAAGTGGGTTTCTTGGTGGATTGTATGTTGTGTCGTCTCTAGGAAAAGCTATTTTTCATCCTTTGTGGATTCAAAGGAGGTGTTCATCTCTTATGTGACTCAAGAGAGGTGTTTTCTTTACCTTATCTTTTTAATTTGTAAACTGCTTGTAAACTATGATTATAGTGACAGCGTTAATCCTCTGTTTGAGCGATTAGCAACTGGACGTAAGGTCTTTTTATCCGAACCAGTATAAATCAACTGTGTAATCTTCTATCCCTTCTCTATTTACTTTACACAGCATTTTAATCGGTGAAATTTGGGAAAATTTCAAAACCCTAATTTTTGTTTAAGAAACCAATTCATCCCCCCTCTTGGTTTTTGTCCGTAAACGCAAACATTCTGTTGCGTGATTCCAACATAACTCCTTCACCCTCCAGCTGATCTTCTTGGCATAACAGGCCAACAGTCGGCTAGTCAGGTGAAAGGGGGGCAGCTATAGACCCCAAATCTTGCCCAGCCTCAAAATAAATAGCAGAAGACCTCCAATTCGAAGATGGGCAAGGCCTAAAAGGTCCCTAGGATAGACTATTAGGCCCCATATTAGAGTAGGAAGGCATTTCTGTACAAAAAATAAGGATTTCCACCTTAAGGGTCGAGACTGTCGTCTCGCTTATCGAGACCATCGTCTCGTCATTGGCAAGGTCGAAACAATCGTCTCGTTTGGCGAGACGGCCGTCTCGACCTAATAGGCGCAAATCCCTATAAAAGGACTTTTTCCCCTTCATTTCACACAGTTCTTCCATCTTTCCTTCTAGCATTTCTTAGAATTCTTCTTTTAGAGCCCCTCCGAAACATTTCTGGAGTTTTCTGAGAGTTCTTAGAGAGTTTTTATAGCGTTGCAAGAGAGAAAAGTCAACGTTGTAGAGTGAAGGACTGCCAAAACACGTCCTAATTTCTAAAGAATTAATAAAAGCTTGCTCCAGAGGTTTCTTCACTCTCTCCCTCTCTTTTATCGTCCTTTTTACTTATATTAATTTGTGCAATAGCTACTAGGGCCATGTAGTCATTATCTTTCAATTCCGCAAATAAAAGGGTAAAAACGTCATTTTAAAAAAGTTTGTTTATAAAATAACCGGCTTATTATAGGGAACCCGAAAGGGGCATCGTAGGGAAGCTAATATCTTCCCTACACGTAACTAACTCCCTTACCCAACTCTGGTTATAATGGTCAAAGTTGATTTTTCTTAAAAAACCAACGCCTTCTTTTTTCCTTTTCCGATGTTTTCGGTAAAAACATCGGTGGCGACTCCATAAGAACCCTCTTCGAAAACCTTGCTTTTAGGTCCAGCCCAGTTATCGGACAACCTAAAAGCTCCCTTTCGAAAACCTCACCCCTGGATCCAGCCCGGTTATCGGACAACTTAGAGGCGTTGTAACCTCACCCATGTAAAACGCGAAAACAGAAGTCGGAACCATCGCGTCGCTCCGACCGCCTCTTTTGATGGCGGCGACACCCTATAAAAAGCTTCAAATATTCCAAGCCAATTATTTAAGTTGACGACACATTCCTAACAAAAAAATATCATGTTATGTTATGTTATCCAAGCCTATAGAGGTCTTAATATGCATCGAGAGATATCAAGAAAACCTACAACTACTCGCATTTAGAATGAAATTGATATACAATTGCAAATAAATAAAAAATATTCATTTTATAAAAATGAAGGACAAAAAATAATAAATTTGTAATATATTTTAAAATAATTTTATATTTTAGTTTATACTATTTACTAATTTAAATTAACTTTTGGTCTATTTTTCTCACTATATTTATTTTGTTTTAAATTAATAATATAATTAAATTAAATTTGAAAAAAAAATCAATTTTTAAAAAATAAATTTATGCAAATAATTAGTTATTTTTATGTTTCGTAAAAAAAATAACAAAAAAACCGTGTTAGTACGATTTTAATTAAAAAAAAACAAAACAAAACTCGTGTTATTTAGCATGAATAAAAAAAATATCTTTATTAACTTACACGATTATTTTTTCGTAATCCCAATAAACTTGTCATATTAACACGAGTTATTCGTTATGACATTGTGTCTCTAGGAATAATTTGGCCTTCATTAATAAAAAAATTTAAAATCGACTTTATAAACTCTGTTTTTGTTTTTTAACCCCGATAAGTAAAAGCCTAAAAATACCTTATACCTTGATGTTGTATATTTTTTTCTGTCTTCAATTTATTTGTTTTTATAACATATAATTGGTACCTGTGCATTGACCCGCGGGCCATGGATGTATCCTAGTTGGTTTGTAAGGGAGGGGAGGTGAAAAAGGTAAATTCATCACAAACGCTTGTAAAATTTGTGTTCTCGACCAATCCACCCAATGACCTGAACGGAAAAATTGTGATGTGACAACATGATCCAAATTTTTAGATAGTTTTTTTTTTTCATTTAGATTGACTTTATATTAGATTATTCTAATAAACAATACTTTTATTTTTTTTAATTATAATTTTTATATCACGAATTTTACGAGTCAAATGAATGAAATCATAGTTATTTCCTTTAGGGTAAGTCTTTTTTATTATAATTTGCGATATAATAGTAATATAATATTAATATATTTTATGCTCATGTGAATCGATTTGGTGATCAGAAAAAAAAATAAAAAAAGCTGATTAGAAGTACAATATTTCTACATGTTAACGCATAACAGGATCAGGCTGAAAAAACCAAGAAAAACAATAGTCATAATTTAACCATCTAAAACCTATAAAACTTGCATACGTGTATTGTTTGAGAAAAAAAATTGTAAATTATTTTATTTTATTAAATTGTTCTAAATTATTCTACTTACTATAATATCTTCAAAGAATTCTTAATAAAAATTATTTAAAAATAAAAACGAATATTTTATTTTTAAATATCTCCATTATTGACTAATATTATTATTAAGTCAATTTATCATATAGAAAATATTATCTACCTTAAAATTTTAATCAATCAAAGTCTGTTACAATTTTATTTTTGAAAAACAATTTATTAATTAAGAAAAAAAGGGAAAAAATAATATTTAAAGACGTGTACTTAAAGAACGTATACCATAATGATTTGTGACTTTATACCAAAATTTTGGTCCAAAATAAGTGGTGACGAATAATTCTTAATATGCTCTTCACCCCACCCCTTGACTACTTGAGTGATGAATACGAAGAAAATGAATGGAATTTAAAATGATAGACCATAACAAAAATGTTTGCAAATTAAAACTGAACAAAATTAAGGGAAGAAGAAGAAGCAGTAGTTCATAAATGAGCCGCCGTAGGCAAATAAAGAGACCTGGTGGCAAGGGCAAGGAACCATGGATTTATTAGAGAAAGCGAACATCAAAAGAAGCTTCATATCATAGATATCATATGTGATCTGCGATAACAGAGTTTATATACAAAATACTACTTTCTCCACGGTTGGAGACGGAATCAGTTTCCTCTGTTTTTGTTCTTGGGCACTGTCACCACCAGCTTCCCGCCTCTGCACACCGCGGTCACCATCTCCGGCTGGGTCCCCGGGGGAAGCCGGAACCGCCAGAGACCAACGCCTAGAGAAACGTCCTGACGCTCACCCGCCACCGACACATCACCGCCGTCCATTCTCTTTATCACGATTTTCGTTATCCCCGGGAGAATCTCGACGGCCCGAGCTCGCACGCCACCGGCGTTGCACGATGCTACAAAGCGAAAAAACTGCGGCGTTTCGTCGACGAAAACGTCGTCTTCCGAGGGGACGGGAAGTTCCAGTATTTTGGCGAACACGTGGGGAAGTCTGAGTAGCTTATTAGGCGCAGACGAAACGACGCCAGGCTGGGAACGTTTCGGTGCGAAGGGGTTCACCGTCTTCGCGAACATGCTCTTATAGCTGCTATAGACTCCAATTCACCCCCTTGAAGTTCCCGTTTGGATGGTCCAAATTCGAGAGGGAAATATGAAATTGGTGGAATAAATTGTTACTCGGTGGGATATATATATATATATATGGCTTGACGCGAATTTGGTTGGACGAAAGTAGCCTAGAAGAGTTGAAGAGGATGGTGTATGAAGGAGGGATTAATACATTTTGCTTTATCCTGAAAAGGTTTGTGGGCGAACGAAAGGAATAGAATCCGTCTTAGTTTTGTCTTGGGAGATTGAAATCTCACGTACCATCCCATTCCTAATTCTAAATCTTATTACTGTTTATCTTTATCATCTTTTCGACGACATGACAAATTCTTTATTATTACATAACAAACACAAGAAAATACGAGAACAATGTTGTTATTATAATGCAGGAATTTGTGTAGCCACGCATTCAGGTGCAGCTAAGTAACAAATTAGGATGCTTTTATTATTCTTTGGCACAACACAAGATAAAAAGATGCCCACCCAAATGGAATAGAGTCAGACTCCACTTTTGAGTGTGCTTCTTAGCCATTCAAACCCATACATACCAAGCTCAACCACATTTTTCTAAGCGTTCATATTCCATTCAAGTTCTCTCTATTCTGCTAAAGTGTTTGACATTTTTTATGCTATTTAATTCGATTTAGGTCCACGCGACTGCAGTCTTCTTCGCTTTATATTTTTCCTTTTCTACTTTCCGCTTTCTGTTTATAGGCAACTTGTCTTCTTTACAACATCAACGGGATTCTACGATGAACCCTAAGAACGATGGAAAGTTTTATTTTTGAGAGACACACTAAGAATCATCATTTATCGTAATTACACGTGTATTTACAAAATAATACATACAATGAGTAATTGGGCCTATAGTCATTTCTCTTTTATGCTTTTGTTTGATACATTATTAACAAAATTCATATTTTCTTTCTGCACCCCCGTAACTCATGTTAAATGATAAAAATATCATGTGCGTTTTTAATTTCCATGTGTGACTTCGGGATTTTGCATCTCCTTTCTTCTTCCATGCTGCAGGGAACACTACTGCCAGCCACACCAGCGTGTGGAGACATAGAGGGAATGGGTGACGGAAATGTGAGAAATTGAGAAAAATGGTGGAACTGACAGAGAAATGCAGTAAATTGATGAATTTTGTGTATATTATTATTTCCATTCACTTTTAAAAAAAATTCCAAATAAATGTTTTAAAAATTTATGAGATTGATCTTTCCGAAACATTTAAAAAACTGATTTTAGAATATTTCTAAAAAGCTTTTGGATTGATTTTTTTTAAAAAAAATTGAAAGTATTTTGGAATTAGGTTTTCAAAATATTTTTAGAAAATTGATTGTAAAATGTTTCTGAAAAACTTCTAAAAATATTAATTAAAAAAATTTTCAGAATGAGTTTTTCGTATTAGCGACAATATAAATCATTTTCATAAAACATAGAGTGCGGAAGTACACGGTGGAGGAAGAAAAACCGTTTTGTTTTCAATTCCCGAACGTGGCCTGCTATGTAACTCTACTGCTGGGACTGGTTTCAATTTAAGTATGTAAGGAACGACTCCGTAGGAGTACAAGAAATAAAAACCTAAATTTTAGGCTAAATTGTACAAATTTTTTTATATATTTTACATTTTATTAATTTTTGTCATTTATCTTTTAAATAAATTTTTTTTTCTGTTTTTTTAAATTGTTGAGCTTAAACATAATTTTATTAATATATTTTTTGTCTTTTTCTATTTTAAAATTCTTCTTAATAAAAATGTCACTACTACAAAATATATTTTCTACGTCGGTTATAGTCGAGACGACGTAGAAAGTACTTTCCACGTCGGTTCTCGGATGAGACGACGTAGAAAGTACTTTCCACGTCGGTTTCCAGATGAACCGACATTGAAAATTGAATAGTAAACACATTCTACGTCGGGAGTTAAATAGTAAACACATTCTACGTCGGTTCTTAGTCAACCGACGTAGAAAGTACTTTCTACGTCGGTTCCCATATAAATCGACGTTGAAAGTCCTTTTTTTATTTTTTTACTTATTGACACTTTCCACGTCGATTCTCATATGAATCGACGTGGAAAGTCTTTTTTTCACCCAAAAACTCACTTAAATTTGAAAATTGTCATTGGCAGGATTCGACCCCAGTACTTTAGAATTAGAGGCGATACTCTAACCACTAAGCTACTAAAATTTTCTCGTTAATAACTTACAAATAAATTATATTTATATACAAATAAATATATATCCATGTAAATATATATTTATTTGTATATATTTTCCGGAAAGTATTTTTATTTTTATTTTCAACCAAAAATTCTCTTAAGTTAATGAATTGTCATCGATAGCATTTGAACCCGAGTATTTTAGGGTTGAAAGTTAATATCCCAACCACTAAACTACTATAATTTTTTGATAATAACTTACAAATAAATTATATTGGTATTTTTCGATCGAGGGTGAAAGTGTGATTGACTCTTGTTTGAGTGAAAATATGTTAAAGCTCACGAAAATTCACTTACTCAAGTCTCGCTTGAGCGAAAATTTGTATTTTTCGCTTGAGAGCAAATAACGCGTTTCCCAAATTTATTTTATATCATTATATAAATAAAATTATAAAGATTATATTCTGTCATTAAATTACAAACTCATATAAAGATACCTGCTCACAAATTTAGCATCAAATTTTGAAAACCCACTCGACACACACTTTCACTTTCGAGTGTGCCCTCACATCCAACATATAAATATATAAATATATAAATATATCAAAATATATAAATATATTTGTATTTATATATTTATATATTTACACGGATATATATTTATTTGTATATAAATATAATTTATTTGTAAGTTATTATCGGAAAATTCTAGTAGTTTAGTGGTTGGAGTATCGACCTCCAACTCTAAAGTATTGGGTTCGAATCCCGCCAATGACAATTTTCTTTAAAAATTAATAAACTTCTAAAAAATATAATATAAAGAGATGGAGGACCTAATAAAAATATAATATAAAGAGAGGGGAGACTTCTAGATAAATAAAAGGGGGTAAAGGGGTTGTAAATAAATAAAAATTATTAATTTAAAAAATCATACTTTCAACGTCGTTTACGACTTTCAACGTCGCTCGATACAACGTCGATTCTACCGAAGCTTTATTTGTAGTAGTGTGTAATACAATGAATTGATTTTTCTAATTGTATCAATAAGTTGTTCATAATTAAGATAAAGGTTATATAAGAGATTTATTTATATTTGTGAAAACTTGATATTTTTTTCATGTCACTCATCCTTCCAATAACTTTTCATTTCCCACCATGCAGTATGTACATGAACACAAGTGCGAAAGGATCTAAGTAACGAACCTCTCACATTTCATCCAAAATTGCAGCATCTCTGATTATGCATATAAGGGAAAAAAAAAAAAGCAATTGCATCGAATTTCACAAGAGAAAAACCATTCAGTGAAGATCCTGGTTGAAGATTGACCCAACTTTAAATGTTTTGTCGAAATGGTCATATTGTTCTACAAATGAGTTTTTGATCATTTCCAACTTATCTATCACCTTTGGAGTTGTGCAGTCCAAAATTAACAAGTATCTATTTGTAGTTATGTGATGACGTATAATACTCAAAACCACATACGAAGGTGTTTCTGGTGGAATTTTGATTAATTTCGATTCTTAAGAGGCTTTGATTCTAACCAAAACTCAACCACATAGGTTCTTTATACTTAGGCTAGCAACTGAATTTCAATCGAAATGTGTATGAGAATCGAAAGTACCACTGTATAGAAAATACTAAGATTAATAATCGAAAGCACTATTTTTGGTATTTTGTATTTGAAGTACTCGAAATAAGGAAAACAGTAAAGTGATAAATCGAAAACAGTGCCGAATGTGAAACTGCGAAGAAATATTAAATTGCAGAAAATGTAAAGTGCAGAAACCTTAAAATTTGCATTGAATGTAACTTGCAAGGAACCGAAAATTGCAGGATTGTAAATAAAAATCTAACTTTGCAGAAAAATGGACAACAGGAAATCAAAATTGCACAAACGGTAAATGACAAGTGATCGAAATCTCGGAAATGTAAATAGTAGGAAATCGAAATTGCGTTAATATAAATGACAAGGAATTTAAAAACAGAAACTTGACTTTCATTAAAGAGAAATGACAAGGAATCGAAAATACAGAAACTTAAAGTTACTAAACATAAACTGCATCAAAGTAAATTACCAGGGAAAATAAAGAAAGCAGTAAAGGTAATCAATGAACATGGAAATCCAGATCGCCAGAAACTTCATGATGTTTGTCGTTCTCCGGTAGACTCCTCACTAGTGTTTTTGTTCTTCTCTGCCAATTTTCCACCTCTCCCCTTTTCATCTTTCGCTCTATTTATAGATCATCTTTCAAGTAGCCTCTTAGGAGCAGTTAACGAAAACTGCTACCATGTTCTTCGTGCACGTTGCAGTTTCTTCTTCTGTGGTGTCAAAACTGCACCCACGTTCCCATGATCTTCGACCTCTGCCACGATTTAGAAACTGCTTCCTATGTGCGCATTTAACTCTTCTTCTCTTTATGATCTGGCCAAGATTTCGATATTTACGCAGGTTAGCCTTCCCCTCAATTTCGATTTTAAAATCTCGAGAACTTTGAATTTGCTTTCGATTCCCCTTAACCTAAACGTCATATACTTCTAATTTCTTGGTTTTATGCAACAAATAGACCTTTAACTATTATTCCTTCGATTCTCGATTCTAACTCTCGATTTTATGTGCCACGCACTTCTAATTAGACATCGAATGGTTTTTTATCCATCTTTCCGATTTATCAATCAATCACATGTTTCTCGATTTTTCTTTCCTTCGTTTTTCGATCACTTTTCTTGATTTTCCACTAACAAAAATGCCCCCTTGGAAGAATATAAATAGTTTCCATTTATATTCTTTCAACATGA